GTAGTGCAATGGAGGGAACTTTTGTTATTTTTTTTTATTTCAATTAAGTCATTGCCGATCTTCTAAACTCTATCTGTAGGCATTAAGGGAAATTCTTTAACATTTTGGAACAGAAGCAGTTATCAATTTACTTTTCTACTTCAGTAATGTGTCAAAATTCTTGTCGGTTGGTTACTTTATTAAGCATTGTGTGATCAAATGGTTAGAACGTTTTTTTGTTAACTTTCCCATCTTACCATGGGTGGTTTGTCAGGTGACATCTTGATGTTATCAGCTTGGGAAGTTGATCTCTGCATGCAGCACCTTTGGTTGACTCAAGCGCTGTGAGTGAAATTGAGTAAAAGGAATTGTTTGTCAATGGTTGTGCTAGCACAAAGTTACAAGTCATTGTGACAGAGGGTTTCCATGTACTGGCCTTATTCAGACTGTTGATCATGCCATATAATGCATTAACTCCCAGAAACTGTACCTAAGTTTTCTCAGCATAAATTGAAGTTTAAACCACAAGTAGGCTTTATGAGTGTTAAAAAACGCAAATGTGCTTGAGACATTAATTCACAGAAATCTGCAAAATTGCCAAAGATATTCTATAATAATGTATTAAACTAATCAAGGGCGCTACTAAAATAATAGACTATTTTTATATATGGAGCATTCTACTGAAGTAGTGCTTAATCAACTTATCCATTTATTCCTGGATACTGTAATACTTGAGAAGAATCAAATCAATTCATATGTATCCTATTATTTCACTATTGCCATTCCTAACACCAGACATAAGAACAAAAATTGTTTATTTCAAAAGAAAAAGAGAGAGAGAGAGAGAGAGAGAGAGAGAAACTGTGATGTTGAACTAATAAATATATTCATGTAGGGATATATATATATATTTTATCCTACTTATGTGTTGTGTTGCACCAGTTCCTTTTGAATTTTTCTTTTTGTCATTTTCTATATCTAACACACACATGGAAGCTTCTCAAAATTTTCCACCCATTTGTGCCTGTGATGCGTTCATTGTTATTCACTGCAAATGGTGGAAATGTGGAGAGGTTTGCCATCCTGTTAAATTTCTTTTTTTTTCCAGTAAAACTTGTCCTTGTTTGAGAAGCTTATGTTATCTTTGTTCCCAAAATTTAGTGTCTTATAGGTAGTGAAAGACTAATGCAGCCAAGATACATCCAAAGAAAAACATAGAGACCAGTTAAAAGCTTCTTTGAACTCAAAACTGTAAAACATCATAATTTGAAAACACAAATTTATTATTTAAAGTAAGACAGATTAAAAGAAACACATTGTTGCCAAGGATTCAGCAGCTAATTCATTCTATGATGATAAAAACTCAGTTCATGTGAGTTGACAAATTGCATATATGCATCTAAGGTCCAGAAAAGTGATAACCAATAGGATGAATAGGAAAAACTATACCTAACTGCATCAGATTTGTTGAGTAAATTTTGAAGTATAAAATTTTGCATTATCCTGTAGATAAACCCCTTTCTATTCACCACAACTAGCCAACATACTCACAATTTTTAATGCATTAGTTTTAAATCATGACAATAGGACTTTGACATGAGGGTTTGATAAGGTAGCAAAAGGTTGCAATGTGATTACTGCATTATACCTTCAACAAATGTTAGCAAGTCAAGATTACATTTTGGGAGAAAATTGGATCAAGATTGTAGACCTTAAGAAAGCCATATTCCTAATTATCCTACAGAAACCACTTTTCATCAAGAGTAAATGCATGATCAAGAAAAGGATCATTTTAAAACAAGCAACTTTTAACAGGCATCAAATTTTGCAATGAACATCCCTTGAACATTGTTGATGTTGCAATCAGATTCGACAGTGCAAAGGTTGGGTTTGAACTCATGGAAGACATGTTTATTCATCTCTGTTTTAATACCTGATAAGGTAAAACATAAAAGTAAACATTTTCTTTCTTTTCTACTCATACTTCTTATGTTGTTCCTTGTCTAATATCAAATTGGTTCAAAAGATGCACTGACAATAGCATAATATACATTTCCCAAACTTTGACTATAATTTGAATTTGATAGTTTGAATTTTAATAAGAACATTTAATTGTTAGATTGTGAATTATCAAGATAAATTTTATATTTATAAGATTATAAAAATATGTGATCCAACTACAGTGCAAAATTTATTGCTTACATTTTATAAGAAATAAATATGAAACAATTTTTTTATTGATAAATTCATAAAAATTTACAAAATTATAAATATATGTGAATCAACTATAATGAAATATATTATTATTTCCCATTTTATAAAGAAATAAATATTTCTTTCATTTACTCTTGCCACATAAATTCACTAAAATAGGTTGACAGCATCTCTTCCTCTAAATTAAACATTCTTTTAATTTTAGATTTTAGGAGAGACCACAAACGCTCAATATCTAGAGCGTGTATTTCTTTATTCATTAGGTGAACAAGATTTTCTTTGTTTATAATTACAGAATGTCTGTAATTTTTACTGGGTATTTCTAGTGATTAGGCATCCATGATCATAGATCACAATTATGAAAAAAAGGAGAAGGAAAATTAACATAAGAAGTAATCTGAGATACAAAATAATCTGAAAAGAAAATGTATAAAACCTGGGAAAATCCTGTTTATTTAAATTTTCTTGTTCTGTAGCTCACAGAAAATTTGTTTTCATAGTTATTTATAAAGTGGTAAATAATAAATATTGCACTGTAGTTGGTTCACATATTTTTATAATCTTGTAAATATAAAATTAATCTTGTAAATATTAATTCTAATAAATAGTGTGTAATATTTTTGTTATTAAAATTCTAACATAGCTTTTTAAAACAATAAACATTTTAAAGTGAGTCAAGAGGATATACAGTAATAGTGGTGACATTACCATGTTACCATATTGTAGGAATGGTAATGCTTACATTCTGCTATCACTTGAGTCCAACTGCAATGAAGTTCCGTCCATTTTTCCTTTTTTTGGTGTTAGTGGCAACTACGAGTCCTATCATAGTAATTTTACTTTCTCACTAGTCTGTTGTCTACTGATTATCTCCCTTACACCATTTATTATGCTGTATATTTCAGCCGAGCAAAACTTGTTATTATTTAGCAAGATCAATGAGGGAGATGAATAATTTCCATAAGTTCATTAAATCATTTAATTCACTTATGGAAACGGATTTAACTTAAATTTGTTCTATCCGCAGCTGTGAGTAATGCCATTTAGTACAAAGTTCCTCTATATCAGACATATGTCCATTTTTATGACTATTTGAAATAAGAGTGTTTACTTAAAATCAATTTACACACCATTACATATAAGATCAAAAACAAATAGCAGTTTTAAATGTTACCACAATTATTGGAAGTTTATTTCCTAGATTAATTGAGACTATGACTATTACATATGCCACTATCGCAAATGCAATTTCTTCCCCAAATAACAACTAACTTTAAGAAGTATAACTTGGATAGCATCTATTTGTAGCTAGTTACCAGCATTTCAGCTTTTGTTTATAAAATAAATGAAGAAGCATATTTGATTTCTGCCAATGTGCATGACCAAACCTTTAATTTCTCAAAAATTATTTTGAAGGTTTGAATTTGCACAAGGACTCACATGATAAATCTAGTGATAAAAGAGTAACCACTTTATAAGCTAGGATCCTAAACATAAAAATGCTTTTAGAGAATTCATTTTGTTAAAAATAAATAAATAAAATGTAGCGCAAGAAGTAGTCAAATGATTGGTGGGATTGTATTGGTGGGCAGAAATATTACACACTTGAAATCACAAATATATGAAAAAAAATTTTAATTTTATAAAAGTTAATAGGATGGAGCAATTTACTATTCAAACTCATTGAAAACTTTTCCCCATATGTAAGCCAAAAACAAATATATTCATATGACATGATTTTTTAAAATGTAAAAAACAAAAACCTTTTCTTTTGGAAATTCAGAATCTGGAATGAGAAAATGAGAAAACAACTTCAGATTACAAATTAAAAAACAATGTAAGAAATTACGTGGTATGAACTTTTTTTGTTTCCATAGAGGGATCAATTTGTAATGACCCCCCACCCCCCGTTAACTTTTATAAAATAATAAAAAAGAAAATGTTCATGTTCTGGATTGCTTAAGTAATGCAAAAAAAAAAAAACTAAAAAGGATTATTTCTGATTATAGTGTCAGTTGTACAAGTCCACCAAATAATATAATGTAGTTCCTAATGAATCCAAAAATTTAAAAGTCAGGTGTGAGAAAATGATCACAATGTAATAAGCCAGCAGAAAGTTTGGTTTATAAAATTCAATAACACAGTAAATGTGACAAAATGAGAAGTTGAGTTGGTAAAAGTAATAAAGGATGTGTGACTCGACAAAACAGTAAAGTATGCAGCAACAACAGGGGGTTAATTCATAAATCTACAAAAATACAAAAACTTTGATATGTGGAATATCTCTGTGATGTCCCATGACATGTGACCTGATTTTATGTGTAAAGGTTGTGTAAATATTATGTTCCTTGTTGGATGATAAAATAGCACTTTTTTTGCTAATTTTCCCAGTGAAGACATAATTAGACATGTCTCTTTTTCTCTATTTATCTCCTTTATGTGAATACACCATTCAATAAAACACTTGTTTGATGCTCCTAATACTGCTGCTAATATTGCTATTATTATTATTATTATTATTATTATTAGAAGAAGAAGAAGAAGAAGAAGAAGAAGAAGAAGAAGAAGAAGAAGAAATGAATATAAAAGAAAAGAGTATTTTCTTTAAGAATAAAAACAAAATATGAAACATTAATAATGCCCTAGAAGTATTAATCAAAATATAATTTTTAGCTAAAACAGTGAAATGGATTTTAGAATTGAAAAACCAGGAATATAATTTTGCATTTTGCATATAAAAGTTGAAATAAATCAAAAAAATGAAACTGCAAAAATCCTGACTGTGAAATAAAATCAACTCTAAATGCATGAATCATCCTGTTCATCTCTCTCTTGTATTAATTGCCCCTTCTTTTTCTCATTTCCATATCAGTTGCATTTTCTCTATGGCCATTCTATTGGGTCAGTACAAAAGTTTATAATGTTTTGTTAATTCATACATTTGTTTATATATACAATTTTGTTGTTAGTTTTCATTTTATTACCCAGAATTTCATTCTGAGTCTGCCATTTTTGTTGTGGGATTAATATACCAGGAGACACGTGTGTAATGAGATGGGTAAGTTGTTGTTGATGTATTATTTTCCCTGTTGTTATTATTTTGTTGACTGTAATGCACAAATGTACAATAATAACAACAATAAAGAGTTGAGACATGTGCTGACATAAATAGCAAGAATTTGTATTTTCTTTTTGTGATGTGAATTATAGAATGGTGTGTGTAAAAATGTACCCAGTGTCTCTTTTGCTTAAAAGTCAGTGCTTACTTGGTTTTGTTCTGAGAATTTCATTTGTGAGGATGCATTTGAAATCGTCTGTTGTTTATTTTTCCTGACACGCATGCAGACGTGTGTTTCTGTACTGCTACTTGTCTACTAGTCTACTAATACTACAGGTACCCTAGTTTACTCTATTCTACTCTACTCTACTCTCTTGTGATGGAAGGATCGTTTTTATAATGATGAGGGTTAGGATGATGACATATCCTTCTTTTCTATCATCACTGATGGCAATGTTATTTTTAGAATGATGAAATATCCTCATCATTCTGGACCATAACACATGTTTTCCACCCTAAATACTCAACCACCATTAGCTGCAACATATTGGTGACAACAATATGATATTTTTCTCCTGGATACATACAAAAACACACATAGCTATATAAGCAAACATAACTCTAACACAACTTTTTCAAACTGAGAACTAATGAAGAAAAAATTTCAACCAACTTCTATCTACTATCCCATGCATGCAGTCACAAAACAACCTTCAACAAAACCACTTACAGTTACAAAATTTGTGATTAGATAAAATGAAAAGAGCTAAATCACAATTTCAAATCTCTAAAATACATCTAACAAGATAACTATTTGGACAAGATATTCTCCAAGTCAGCAAATAGATTTTTCTTTGCAAGACATGTGACACACACACAAAAAAAATCTGTAATCACCATTGTAATTACTACTACGATGACACAGTTAGCAAGCAAACAACACATATCTCATCTCTACTGCTTTTTGCTTGGCTCTTTCTTTCTCTTAGGCCATTATGCCTGACTCCTTCTTCCACCAGCAGACATCACAATTCTTTTTTCACCAAAATGAAAAATACAACTTTCATCTTACAAGCAAAGCCAACTTATTTTCTTCAAGGATACCACCCAGAATTCACAATGTAAATCTACACAGACCACACGAGAAAATACCATTCAAACACCACGAAAGTTAACTTCATTTTCAACTTTAAACAGCATTGTTTCTCCTAGGCACAACATATAATGTGTGAAATAATTCCAGAAGCAATTCACTGACCTTTTTCATTCTTCAAAGATGTTAACACAAACAAAACTAAGAAATCTGCAAGTACGTTTTAATAATATATGGAGATAACTGCGTTTCTGAGAAAAATCAACAATAATATTAGATATAATCAAAAGTTCTCGCAAACATGTATTCAACATTCGATAGAAATTTTATCAACATCAGCTCAACAACTTTGCAAATTGACGCTTCTTCTATTAAAATTTTGTGCACCAACATCATCCATGCATAGCAAACAAACCAGGCCTTCCAGACAAAATCACTTCAAAGTGCAGCACTGGAAAAATAACAAAATTTTAATACCAACCACTGATACTTTTCTTCCTATACTACCAACATATCTTCCAGGGTGTGCTATGACTCTGACCCACTAGAGAATTATATAGCACCCTGATGACACAGTACTCCAGACAAGTATATTTTCATCAACATGTTTAAACACATATTGCAACCACACTATGAGACTCTTTTTCTTTTCAGCCTACGAGGGACAAAACAAGTATACAAAAAATTTATGGACATATGGGCAGAATAAAATTTTCTCCTTCTGGAGGGGGAGTATTGTGGAGTTACCACCATTCACTTGGCTAAAAAAAAAAAAAAAATGTTGCTAAAGGGCGCTCCTTGAGCCTTATTAATAGACAGTAACATTCAATATCATCCTCTTTTTCCCATTTTCCTCTTACACGTAGGTTGAATGTGGAGAATGCATCTCCTACCGGGAAACGCATGCATGCACACATGCCAGCACCTTTCTCTTCACTTTCTTCAATGTAACACTTTTCACTCAGACTTCTACACACATTTTATACAAACACATTCTTTAGTCTTTAAATGTTTTCTTCTTTCATGTTCATTGTTCAGTAACATGCAACAATTTCCTATTGTCTATGTATATTCTTTTTTGTTAATACATACTTATCATTTGTTTATATATATATATAGTTTTGTTCTTAGCGTATTTCATTACCCAGACTCACATTCCAAGCCCGCCATTTTTGTTGTGGGATAAATATACCAGAAGACATGTTTTTTTTAACCTAAACACTCAACCAGCATTGCCCGCAACACCTCATCTTTCCCTTCCATATTAGTTGCCTGCTCTTTATTGCTCTTCTGTTTGAGTGCTTCCTCTTTCTCACCACTTGAATTATTTGCCTCCATTCTCTTACACTTCTGGATTAGTTGCTCAATTTTCTACCCATTCCAGAGTTTCTGTTTTCCAGTTATTTTTCTCTTTCTTCCATATTATTTGCCTTTGACTTCTCTCACTTACCTATTATTTATCTCCACTATTTCTCCCTTCCATATTATTTGCCCACTTTTTCTCTCACTTTCGTATTATTGGCCTTTTCTTCCTCACCTTGTCATATTATTAGTCTTCACTCTCTCTCACTTCAAGATTATCTTCCTCGTCTTTTTCTCATTATCCCATTCCTCTTTCTCTCATTATTTCCTTCCTCTTTCATTCATTATTGCCCTCCTTTTTCTCTCATCATTTTCCCCCTCTTTCATTCATTATTTTCCTCCTCTTTCTCTTATTATTTTCCTCCCCTTTCTCTCATTATTTGCCAACTCTTACTCTCACTTCCATATTATTTGCTCCTGTTTTCTCTCACTTCTGTATTATTTGCTTCACTCTTTTTCTCTCTTCCATATTATTTACCTCCTCTTTCTTGCCATTCCGTATTATTTCCTCTTTCATTCTCTCATCTGTTTTATTTGTCTACTATTTCTCTCTCTTACACTCCACACTTTCTTTCAATTTCCTATTCCTTAACACCTCTTCCTCTCAATTCTGTTTTATTTACCTCCTCTTTTTATCACTTCCGTATTATTTGCATCCTCTTTATCTCAGTTTCCTATCATTGTCTCCTCTTTCTTGCCCTTCCGTATTATTTGCCCCTCTTTCTCTTTGTTCCATATTACTTATCTTCTCCTTCTCTCTCTTCTGTACTATTTTTCTCCTCTTTATCTCACGTTCCAATTATTTGCCTCTTCTTTCCCTCATTATCCTATTAATTTTCTTCCTCTATCTCTCACTTCAGTATTATTTGCCTGCTCTTTCTCTCTTCTATATTATTTGCCTCCATTTTTAATCACTTCCATATTATTTGCTCCCCCTTTTCTCTCTACTGAATTATTTGCCTTCTCTTTCTCTCTTGGAGGTAAGGTAGAAGTTTTGATGTTCTGTAGTAATCCTGACTTGATATTATTTGAGTGTTGTTAAAGTAATTACCCTGTTACTATATGTATTTGCAGTATAGAAGGAATCATTTTCTCTTTTTTTATATTGAAATTGAAATGAAGTAACGCACAACAATAATATAAACAATAAAAAACTTGAGACACATCTTGACATAAATAGCAAGAATTTATATTTTATTTCTGTGATGTGAATTCAGAATATTAGTATGGTGTGTGTAAAAATGTTCTCAGTGTTTTTTGTTTAAAAGTCAGTGCTTACTTGGTTTGGTTCCGAGAATTTCGTTTGTGAGGATGCGTTTGAAATCGTCTGTTTTTTATCTTCTGGTGTGCTGGCAGACATGTGTTTCCACTGACTACTACTACTACTACTACTACTACTACTACTTGTCTACTGATTACTGCTATAGGGTGCCCTAGTCTACTCTAATGACTCTCTTGTGGTGGAAGGGTCGTTTTTATAATGATGAGGGTAGGATGATGAAATATTCTTCTATTCTATCTTCACTGATAACACCTTGTATTTTTAGAATGATGAAATATCATCATCATTCTAGAATCTAGGCCATAACACCCTCTTCACTTACCTCCTCTTTCTTACTCTTCCTTTTTATTTGCTTCCTCCTTCTCTCTATTCCGTATAATTTAACTCCTCTTTCCCTTTCTTTCTCTTCCTTTTTATTCATCTCCTTTTTCTCTCCCTTCCGTATTATTTGCTTCCCCTTCTCTCCATTCCGTATTATTTAACTCCTCTCTCTCTCTCTCTCCCTCTCCCTCTTTCTCTCTCTTCCTTTTTATTTGTCTCCTCTTTCTCTCACTTCCGGATTATTTATGTCCTCTTTTACTCTTTCCTCTGTTTTGATTCCTATTTCTGTCCTTTACCTCTTATAGGCCGACACTTTCTTTGTTTTCTATTATTTATCTCCTCTTTCTCTCACTTTCCTATGATTTGTTTAGTTTACTCTTTCTCTCCCATCCATATAGTTTGCATTCTCTCAATTTCCCTCCCGTATTATTTGACACCTCTTCTTTGTCACCCTTGCTTTTATTTGTCACCCTTGCTTTTATTTGTCTCCTTTTTTCTCATTTTCCTTTTATATGCCTCTTCGTTCTCTCCCTATCCTATTGTTGGCGTCCTCTTTCTCCCCATTCTGTATTATTTACCTCCTGTTTCTACCCCCCTTTTTTTTTTTTTTTAAGCATTTCACCCCAAGCAAGGCGGGAAGCCACTAGGACGCAAGGGGTTACAGAAAATAGGAAGATCAGATAGGAGTGATAGAAGATAGGATGAGGGTAGTAGATAGATTAGGGCAACTGGAGATGTCGATTGACATTACACTTGAATAGCTGGAGATTATAACTCACAGGGAAACAGGAGAAGGGAAGAGAGTTCCACAGGCGAGATGTGAGAGACATGAAGCTATTAGAGTAGAAGAGACGGCTACATTTAGGAGTTTCGACAATGAAGGGGTGAGAGCGGGATGCCAGCCTCGTAGGGCGCTTGAACTCATGAAGTCTGGGAACCAGCGAATGCAGCTCCTCATGCAATTTCCATGAAAGTATTTGTAGAACAGACAGAGGGAGGCGACGGTGCGTCTGTGAGAAAGTGACTGTAGACGAGACGCCAGGGCAGGGCCAACCATATTGCATATCCGCTTCTGGAGCCCATCAAGAACCCCGAGGCAAACAGAAGGGGCGCCAGACTATATATGGCAGCAATACTCCATGCAAGGGCGAATTGTGGATTTGTATATCTGGAGGATCGACTCAGGGGAGAAAAACTTCCTAGCGCGGCTCAGGGAGCCAACTTTCCTCGCAGTCCGTATTATTTGACACCTCTTTCTATTACTGCTGTATTATTTGCCTCCTCTTTATATCAGTTTCCTATCATTATCTTCTCTTTCTATACCATCCGTATTATTTGCCTGCTCTTTCACTCTCTTCTATATTATTTGCTTCCTCATTTCTTTCTTCCGAATTATTTACCTCCACTTTTTCTCCTTTCAGGTATCATTTGCCTCCTCTTCATCACCATTCTATATTATTTGCTTCCTCTTCCTTTCACTTCCCTATTATTTATCTCCCATTTCTCTCCGTTATAGATACACAAAAATGCAAGTAGAATATTAACCAATATGAAATGTCAGGTGCTTCCAAAAACATAAACTATGTACAGAATGTTTATCTCCACAATAAATAAATATTGTCAAAAAAAAAAAATGAAGTTAATGTACTGGATATGATAAATGCGATGTAAAATTGGTAAAATTCTAAAATTACATATTAGTAACATAAGCCTAAAATGGGACAGGATTTTGTAATTCTTATATAATAAGTACCGACCAAAAACTCTTGCATGAAATCTTTTAAAAATGGCTTCTTTGACATTTCCCAACAACTGTGCACCCAAATTAATTTGAAAGCTAAGCTATCCTTTCGTGAAAGAAAAAGGAATGATTAGACAATGAATATCAAAGATTAAAAATCGTAACAAGACTCGCGGAAAAATGAATACTTAGTAAGAGTAACAACAATTCTCAAAGATGACAGAATAGTAGAAGTGAGTGAATGTTGTCCCAACATTTTGGCGTGAAAAATAAAATCTTCCAACAATATGAGAAGAATTATAGAAATAAGTATTGAAGCAGTGCAGAGATTATCAGTTGGCAACAAAAAAATTATAAAAATCTCATATAAATGAATAGAAGAAACAAACAAAAAACAACGATAAAATATTCAAAATATTAAAAACAAGAAATTCTACCAAAACAAAAGGCGAATAATTTTTATTCAAGAAATAATTTAAAAAATGAAACATTGCAAATTCTATATGAGAAGACGACTGAGATTTGAGCAACTGATCATCTGCCCAACTAGATTATCCAATCGAAAAGGACGGCAATTATAAAAGTCACATTTATGATGAATTCTGAAAAATATATTTAAGGAAGGTAATCCATAATTAAGAAAGAACATACATTTTTTTTTACATGCTTCTTCAGAACTATTTGCAAAAGAGTAAATATTCAACGAAGAAATTGTAGTGTAAGTCAACTCCGAATTAAAATCGAGTACTGATTACTATGAAGTAATTTTTCATGTTCTATGTGAGAAGTAGAGTATTTATTTTAATCCAGTGACGTGACCGAGAAAAAGATGTGTGTGTGTGTGTGTGTATTAGGTCATATGTAAGCGTATCTCAGGGTTGGTAGTTGTGTATAGCAACAAACTAAAACGCTAAAAATCATAGGCAGAAGAGAGATCCGTTAAGTCAGCAAAAGGAGGTGGGGGATAAGCAGCAGAAGAAAGGATGCTTAAGAAAGGTGGGGCATGTATGACTCACCCTTTTCGTGGCAGAAGGGATGATGATGGTGGCGTCAGATTCACGAACATCCAATCATCAACCTTCAGTGTTTTTCAGCATCTTCAACAATTTCTCAATGCTCTCCATCTCGCATAAGCACCTGTTGCAAATGCAGAATCTCTCGAGGGAAAAGTGTTGCTTCTTCTCCAGTTAACACTTATCCACACATGCATACGCACACACGTATGTCATATGGATATATTTAATTGGTTTCAGTTATTTCAATTCACTTCCCTGACAAATAGAGAGGACGGGTTATTCATGCGGACATGCGTTTACTCACACACTTTAATTTTCTTTTATCAATCTTTGTATGCTATTAAGAATACAGTGGTTGAGATGACTGGAGATGCTACAGGATTCAGGAGAATTTAAATTTGTCTTGCTTTGAACTTATTAACTTTGAATTGGCACCAATGGCTTAAACCAAAATTTTAATTCTGTTCACTTAATCGTTGTGCCAGAACGTGTCTTCAGTAACATGGATACTTGAATATATGTACCGTAAAATACACGTACGTAAACGTACAGATTTAATTCATCCAAGTACACATGTATGCATGCATACATATATGCATACCTCCACATATACACACAAATACAGAAGGAGGTATAAGAAGGTAAAGCATATACTTATGCAAACACAAAACTGGTTAGAACGTTCGCTTTCCGACCATGAAACCCGGGTTCGAATCTCACCATGGTCGATTTGTCAGGAAGGTGATCTTTTGAAGTTATCGGTCTGTAGAAGCGACCCCAGCGTACGGCACTTTTGGAAAGCACCTGAAAACCATACCGCAAGTTGACCCAAGCCTTGTAAGTGAAATCGGGTGGACGTAATTATTTGGGAGACGTCGATGGTTGAAATAACATGAAATCGCAAGTCATCGTGACCGCGGGTTTGGGCGTAGTGTCCTTGTTCAGATTGTTGATCACGCTAGAAAATGCACTCTCTCCCAGAGATTGTAATTAAGGTCCACTTAGCATAGTTGCAGTATAAACCACAGGTGGCCTCTGTGGGTGTTAAACAAACACAGACACACATACACACACATATATATATTATGCTGCTATTGGAAAATTCTATTATCTACTTTTAATGGTATAACCCAGTTAACGCGCCAAATGAATTTACGAACGCTAAGTTTAGGGCAACCCAAGATATCCAATGACACAGACGTCTTTAGCTGCCTCCGGGGAACGGTGCCGAAACCAGTGACGACCGAAAAGACCCAGATAAGTGTAACCAACTATTTCTAACTGAAATATATTGGAATTGACCCAATTATTTGACTGTGAGGGACAACTTGAGCGGAAACAAGTGCATGAAGGAGTGGACCTGCAGTGCACCACCTTTGGCTGCCCTGACAACACCATCCCTTCCACTAATCAGTTCCCCAACACCACCAAGAACCCAAATGGGTCTGGGCTTAAGAGGGCTAAGATCACATCCCCAACCTTCAGTCTGTTCCGGAATGGCACTCTAGAACGGCTCTGTGGCCTCTCCCTGAGGTTCAACAAGTACTCATCATACCATTTTGCCCTAAATTTCTCCAGGCACCAGTTCCGCATCTCCATGGTTCTGATGTCGCTCCCTTTTGGCAGTGTGGGGGAAGGGAGGGCGCACAATCTTCCTCATTCAGGTTGAACATTAGCCCAGAACTCACATTAACCCGCAAAAACATGCTCGATGTTACCGCTTCCAGCTCTTTCTCCGCCGATTCTTGATAAGTTAGGGGTCGATTATTGACAGCACTTTAAATGTCGGAGATAAGGGTTAGTAGGGAGAAATAATCTATTTACGTCCCTCCTCCCGCGGGCCACAACCTTGTGGAGGCATGTTTTGATCATCTGAATACTTCTTTCTCAGATGCCTCCAATCCAGAGAGAGAACAGCGGAAAAGGGCAGAACTTGATTTGGCAAGCGTCTAAACTTCTGCTGGAAATCGTGACACAATAATAACTTCCTGAACAGCCGACCACCACCCAGGAAGGTCTTTGCATTATCACTGTAAATGGCAGCCGGAACGCCATGCAAGTTGGTGAGACGTATCAATGTTTGAATGCTCAAGTCTGGCACCAACTCTGAAACTAAGACAAGTGAAAATGAGCAAGTACATTTTCACTTCTCTATTACCCTCCTTAATCCAAAGGTGCCCAGTGTAGTCGACTCCCGTATGATAGAAGGGAACCTCTAGCTCCACATGCGACGTGGGTAAATTGGCCACATTGGAAGGCAGGACATGTTTGGCATTGTACCTCCTGCACAACGCACATGTACCCAAGACTGTCTTCACAGCTTGTCTTCCCTCGGGAATCCAGTAACTACTTCGCCTCACCTCAGCCGTGGACCCAACTCCCAAGTGCTGGCACCTAACATGGGCATCTATTATGAAGAGTGGTTATCGGGTGATGCTTAAGCAACAGAATAGTGTGTTTAACTCCCATATTAAAATGAAGAGAATTACCAATTCCGCCCGAACTAATTAAACCCTCCTCATAAATGTACAGATCAATGTCCCCCATCAACCTAGAAACGTCCCTGCCTGGAGGATCCGGTAAGAATGCCAACTCCTCAGGCTAGGCTTGTTGTTGCATTGTCTTCATTTGAAGAGTGGCTGCCATTCTCTTACTGTCAACCTCCAACCGCCGCAACCTATTGATAAACTTCAGGACTAACGCAGTTACCCTCAAGATCTTTGCAAAGGAAGAAAATATCTCCAAGGGCAAGATCGTTGAGAATTCCTCTCCCCGGAAAACTGCGGACTATCCATTGGCTGCGTTGATCGAGACATGGTAACTCCCGTGTGGGCTATGGACTGGTCCTGTCACGCAACCAATCCGGACCGAATGCAAGCCTTAAACCTTTCCAACGCCAAACCTCTGGTGATCAAGTTAGCAAAGTTCACCGTGGTTAGTACATACCGGAAAGAAGGATTCCAACCCAGCAACCATCTGAATGACATCCTTCAGTCTGGTTCTTGCAAAGAAGTTTTTACTCCCGATGGACCCAGAAATAATCCACGAGAGAACCACATGAGAATCCGTGACTCCCTGTATTTTGTAGGGGAGAATCCTCCGAAACCGTTCAAGACACTGGCCAAGCACTTCAGGGCCAAATACACGGCCAAAACTTTCAAGGTGTGAAGAGTCTTTCTCTTTAAGGGTTCCACCTTAGCCTTTAGAAAAACCAGGTAAGACTGGCTATTCTGCACCACATATGCAGCGAACCCATATGCCTCCAGTGATGCATCGCAGAAGAGGAACAGTTCGCCGACTTCGTTCTCACTGAAAGCCTTCCGGAGGAAGGAAATGCTCCCCAATCCGGAAAGGTCAGCTGAAAGGCTTTTCCATCTGGATGAAAACTCGGACGGCTCATACCATCCCAAGCCCCACTTCCATAGATCACGCAGCAGGACACGACCTCGCAACGAAACAGGCAAGTATAATGACAAAGGGTCAAAGACTCTTGCTGCTTCCGCGAGTATGTGCCTCTTTGTGGAAGCATTAGGATCACAACTTATGGGAGCAATATAAGTTGTATGTCAGTGAGGGGATTGTATCGATATCCAAGCACATTTTCCCAATCAGTCCCATGACTGCTCACGGTACCATCCTCCATTTTGTCCCGAGTCCTCACACAAAGTTGCAAAACTGCAGCTCGAAGCCTCCCCAGTTGCAATCGTTCCCTGGAGAGGGCATATAAAGTGCATAGCTCAACTGGATTATCACTGGTCA